TCCTTAATTTTATAAATGCGCCTGTGCCTGCTGCCAAATGTGCTTTCTTGAGTTAAGAATAGACTCTTCATTCTAACATGAACTGACAAGATTGTGTTTCAACGTCAGTTTTGGAAGCAGCAAAATCTTGCTTGGTCTGGGAGAATGTCAGGAAAGTTCCCAGTCTCGGTTCAGGTCTAAGGTAGAAAGATAAAGGTTCACGTCCACTAGGTAAAGACCCGAGGGGGGTATGTTCACTTGAAGTTTAAAAACATAAAACTAAAACAAACAAACAAACAGAAAAACCTCAAAAAGATACATTTGTGAATTTAGCAGTCATTTGACTCTCCTATTTTGGTTTTGAACAACTGATCAGTTCTCCTCTTTTCCTTTCTTAAGAAGATGATTTTGACATTAAGGTGGACGTCTATCATGTTTGCCAGCTCCAGATCCACTCCTCCCCCTTCTACATAGTAGCAGCTTCTCAGTGTTCATGTGTGGCCTGTATTTGGGTAGCACTCTGACAGAGGATTATAGTGCAGTAGGTACAAACAGGGCTCTGCGGTCCGTCAGGCTGCCTGGCTTTATTCACTCATGCTGTGTGACAAGGGGTGTGTGACTTAACCTTTCCAAATCTTGGTCTCTTCCTCTATAAAATGGGAATAATAATATTACCTACTTCATAAAATTGATGTGAGGAGTAATAAATATGGTAAATCACTTAGAACAAGGCCTGATGCATAATATGAACTCAGTAAGTGTTAGCTATTATTATTATTATTATTATTATTATTATTATTTTTATTTTATTAGCTGAGCCATCCTGCCATCTGTTGGCAGCTCAGTGGCAACTCAGCTCAGGCCGGGCATCAAACCACTGTTGCTCAGAGCTCACACTCTTGCGTGAGCTTTTAACCAACTGAGCCACTTGGCCGGCCCCTTAAAATTCTTATATGACAATTTAACTTCCTTAGGAACCTTATAAGCATATCTTCCATCATTGACTGTGGCTATAGAAGTCTATAACAGGCTGACCTATTTTTTTGCCCTAATACATGTGACTTGTTTTTTTTTTTCCCCCTGAGAAAATCAAAGGACTATTTCTTTGGAGATAAGTTGTTTTACTAGGACGTGTCTTGAAAATGATCACCCATATATTTTCTGATACATGATGTGCTGCTTCAATCTGTAGATTTAAGTCTTCATTTCTGGGACATTTTCCTGAGTGACATCTTTAAATATTTTTTGTTCCATTGTTTCAGTCTCTTCAGAAGGGATACCATTTATGAATATATTAAACTTCCTTTGTGTTTCATATACTTTTCTAGCAAATCTTTGTTCATTTCCATTTTATTTTTCCATTACAGTTGTCCCTTGGTATTCACGAGGGATTGGTTCCAGGCCCGCCCATGGATACCACAATCGCCAGGAGCTCAAGTCTCCTATATGAAATGGTGTAGTATGTGCATATCAACCTACACAACCATCCAGTGTACTTTAAATTATCTCTAGATTACTTACAATGTCTAATACAGTGTAAATGCTATGTAAATAGTGGTTACACAGTACTGTTTAGGGAATAATGGCAAGAAAAAAACCTCTGTACATGTTCAGTATAGATGCACCATCACAGGCCTAACTAGGCAGTACATGTCAGCAACAACATAACATTTTTTTTCCATAGGTTGGTTGATTCTGAGAATGCAGAATCCGTGGAAATGAGGGCCAAGTATATTCTCTTTTTTTGGAGGGGAGGGAACAATGTGTTTTTCCAGGACCCATCAGCTCCAAGTCAAGTAGTTGTCTCAGTCTAGTTGTGGAGGGTGCACAGCAGCTGCCCATGTGGGGATCGAACCAGCAACCTTGGTGTAATGAGCACTGCACTCTAACCAAGTGAGCTAACTGGCCGCCTCGCAGGTATTCTTGATTTGTCCTCTGTGTCCTTTAAAAGGGTTTTCTGGTGCCATTTCTCTGTAGTCTTTATATCTGTGGTTGTTTTGTTTCCTGCTTCTTTCCTGAGCTCCCCCAGATCATGTTTTAAGACCTTCTGTGGTCTTGCCCTGTGTTTCCTGAGCAAATGCATCTTTGCAAGTTCTTGCTTTATACAAGTTTTTTTTAATGTAAATTATATATGTGAACATGAATTTTACCTATTCTGTAGCAATTTTTTTTTCTTGTGTTGATTCTCCACAGCCATTTGTTTTTCCTATTTTCTCATGCTTTTTTTTTGTTTTTTAATTGGAGGAATTCTGTAAAGGTTTTGTGCTGGTTCCACCTTGACTTTTCATCATGTGAACTAGATGAGTTCTTCCATGAAGAGCTATTAGAGTGTGGGCCTTAGACACTTTCCAGGCTAGCTGGAATGTCCCTTGGATCATCCTCAGGTTCCTTATGACATAGGTTTGTGACTGAAGGTTCTTTTGGTCTTTACTTCTTCGAATAGAGATCTGAAACAGCAATGTTGAATCCCTCTTCCAAACCTTGCCTCCGCCACAGCCTGCTTTTTACAAAGGTGGCAGATCCGTGTGATTCCTCACTTGGCTATGTTTCTCCTATTGTAATGTACACTGTCAATGACTGACGTTAATCAACAGTATGTGGGAACTATGCTCAGGTAACCACTAAGCACACAATTTAAGATGCCTGAAATTTTGCAACCTTTGCACGAAGAGGCTTCTAACATCAGTGTTTCAAACAATCCATTTGATGGGGAAGATGACGCTGAACTTTTAATAAAGAAATGTTTCTCCCTGTAATATTTCTTGCTGAATTTTAAACAAGTTTTTCATGTAGGATGTATCTATATGAGGTCACTTAAAATATTTTTGATTAATATATTTTTGGACCAAAGCATTCTTAAGTTTTCAAAGAGTGATGAATGATATTTTGGGCGAGTTTTTCATCAAATGAAAAAAAACACACTGATTTATAAGTTCTAAAAATCATCAAGTTTATATATCATTCTTCCTCCAACAACCTGTGTTTTAGAGGCTCAGGTAGGTAGAGTGTCCAGTATGCAAACTTGGCAACAAACCTGGGACTTGGGCCTAGTTTTTCAGATTTCTAGTTCTTTCTACTACCTCAGCTTGCCTTCCTAGCTTATCACTTTAGGTATTAAAGGCGGAATAGAGTAATTTAGAATTTTTCAAATTTAATCTATGCATTTGCTTTAGATAGTATTAATTTCCCCCACACCATCTGCCCAGTTCGGAACCTGGGCCACTCAAACCTGATCTTTGGCAGGAGGGCTGGTTGGTGAAGGGCTTGATGGGCATAAAATTAATAACTTTTTCAAGATGAGCTATTAAAAGCACCCCTTCTTTGGGGCCTTTAATGACAATTTTAAGGGCTTTAAGGAAATAGAAAGATTTAGGACCTAACCTTTAGTAATCCAGAATACCTGCCAGAGCTTTCTGGAGTGGAATTGTTGGGGGACAAACAGCTTTTGACTGACGGTAATAACTGACAGTGGAGTTGGAGTAGAATGAAGGAACTTGTTGGCAGCCATCATCTGTTCCTCTAGAAAAACATGACAGGCTGAAGGAAATGGTCAGTTACTTGAGAAGAGTCCAGGTGAGGGCCCTGAAGTAAACAGAATCAGGCACTTTACAGGCTAAGGTTTAACCTTTCTTAGGGAACACTGCGTTTTGTTTTGTATTGCAATTTCCAGGGTCAAGATCTCTTACTTTACGTGCTTTCTCATGAGGGAGAAATGACCATATAAAGTCAGACTGAATTTGTCTTTGGCCTTCTCACCTCCTTCTTTGGGCCATGGGACCCATTCTTCTCAGTTCCCCATTAAACATTTGAGTCTTTTCTCCAGGACTTAGTCCAGCTGAGGACAACTTGATAATGCTGAATGAACATCATTACTTGAGAAAAGAAAGAAAACTTCCTATAGCATTTCCACCAGTACAACAAATACCGAATAGCTGTCCTAATTCAATTTCATTTCATTTTTTTTTTTTAAGATTTTTATTGGGGAATTGGGGGAGGGGAACAGACAAGTTGTTATTCTTTTTGTTCTTCAGTTTAGTTGTGGAGGATGTCGCTTCACTGACCCATGTTGGTATTGTGATCATTGCGCTGTTCCTGGCTGAGGGAGTCGCTCGCGGCCATTGGACGGCCGCTCACGGTGGCTCACAACAGCTAACGAAAGCGCATGCCAGCTGCTGGCCAGCCCCACTGCAACCTACGGCCATTGCTGGTGACTCACCGCAGCCCAGCTTCAGGTCAAGCTGTTGTTCACCATCTTAGCTGTAGAGGGCGCAGCGCCACTGGCCCTCATGTGGGATTCGAACCAGGGCCCTGCTGCTCAGAGCTGGCTTTCCAAGCCAACTCTCAACCAACGTGCCACTTGGCCGGCCCTCAATTTCATTTCTTTATCCATTCAACACACATTCATCGATCAGTTACTAAGTGTAAGTCACCCTGCTGGTGCTGGAAGTACAACGGAAATACGAAAGTCAACATATCCCTTGTGCTGATGGACCTTACTGCTTGGTAGGTGAAGTCATGGCCACAGAGCCACGTGCAACTTCCCCTCTGCTTTCTCTTCACTTATACTGCTCCGGTAAACTGCCTCTCTGATAGGGAGGAAGAAGAGATAGAGCATCAGCACTTCTTTAGTTCTGGGGACAAAAGCTGAGGGACAAAATTGTCTTCATGAGCTCTGGAGGCTGATCCTTAGGCAAGGAACAAAGAGGAAATAGGGAGGGAAGAACTGAATAAGAAGGAGAAGGAGTGGGGAGAAGGGAAGGAGAAAAAAAATACAAGATGCTTATGGTAGGGCATGGGAGGATGCCAACTGGGATCTCAGTTATGCCTGGTTCCTACTTTTCATACCTAACCTTTGACCCAAATAAAAGATATAGTTCTCCAAATATATTTCGTGTTGAGGGGAATGTTGTATGCCTTGGATTTGGGTGATGTGTCCCAACTTTGAGAGGCTCCTTAGTAATCCATCTTGGAATTTGGGTTTGTCAATTCAGTCTGTGTTTTTAACAGCCAGGTAATCCCCTATTTGCTTTCCTCAGCCTGGAGAGCCTTAAGCCTAAAACCCTCTGAAAGACAAACCAGCATGGAGGTGTGTAGGGATGGGGCTGCCAGGTTATCTTCTGACCTCTTTGGGACAAGGGAAGGGGGTGGGGGACCAGTGCCTGGTCCCGACTGCTTCAGGGGGAGACCAGTCAGCCTGCATCCAGGTTGTGAGAACCAGGCAGAAGGTGCTGCGTGAAGTTTCCTTTTCAGGGAGTAGAATTCCCCCCACCCCCCTTTTACAGTGAAACTGGAACAGTCCGGGGAAAATGGGACAGGTGTCTCCAATCAAGAGTCAGGGCTGTTGACCCAACTCAGCCTAGGAGCCCTAAGAGAGTGATAGTCTTGATACAGGGAAAACTATAATTTTCCGTTATAAGAGATAGTCCCTTGTCACGGAGGTTGGGCCCGGGGATCCGCACGTGGGTCGCCCTCTGACAGACGAACATGGAGGAGGGTAGGCCAAGTGCACCTCCGAGAATGAGGCCAGAGCGAACTCTGGGTTCGTTTCCCCCGACTGTAGGAAAGGATGTATCAGGGTGCATGCCCTGCCACCTGGGTACCCTACTAAGCTGGGTGGGGCTTAGGAGGGTGTGGGGCAGACGTTCCCTTTCCACCAAGTCTCTGGATTTGTGAAGCCAAAGAGCGGGGGCGGAGGGGGGGGGCGGTGAGGAGAGAAACCAGGAGTGGCCAAGCAGGAGCGAAGGCCGGCCCAGATTCGCTGACCGCTCCAGCCTGGGGCCGGGGCAATCCCAGGGGCGCACAGATCCCGCGCCTGGCCAACCCCGAATCCACCCGCCGCCCAGCAGCCAAATAACCCTGGGAGTTTTGCTCCTAAAGGGAAAACGAGGCAGCGCCCGGTACGTCCTGCGCGTCCCTGGCCCCGAGGCTCCCAGGCTTTCTTGTCGCCATGAGGCCCCCTCCCCCCGGCCACAATAGGACGCCAGCGCCGATTTTGGTGCAATGCGAATTAGCTCCAGTCGCCGATTTGGGAGGGACTGACAGGTTCGGGGAGTGCCGGCCCTCGCGGCGGAGTCAACGCCCACCTCCGCGGGTATCCCGGTCCCCGCCTCCGATCGCCATAACAACTGGCCTCCGCCCTCCGGGCCCCAGCCGCGCCGTTTCACGCCGGTCAGGGCCGGGGTTGCACCGGAGGGCGCCCCGCATCCGGGCGGCTACGCGCCGCCGCCCCCGCCCCCGCCCCCGTCGCCGCCGCCGCCTCCTCCGAGCGCGACACAGAGGCGCCCCCTCCCGCCGCGGTGGAGGAAAGCCCCCTCGCGCCCCCGAGACTTGACTTTGCAGAATTAATAAAAGCACCTCAGTGGCTGGGCTCCTCCCGCGCGTGCCCCAGCGCGCCGCACCTGCCCGGGTCCCCACACCTGCCCTTTCTCGGGCTCCAGGGCGCAAGCAGCGGCCAGGCGCGTAGCTGGGCGGTCGACGCCGGTGCCCCTGAGCCGGGGGCGCAGGACATCCCCGAAGGCGGCAGCGCGCGGGAGGCGGGGAGGCGGGGAGGGCGGGGAGCCCGCGGGAGGAGGAGGAGGAGAAGGAGGAGGAGGGATCAGGCGGGCGGCGGGGAGGCGGAGAAGGGAGGCAAGAAAGTAGCAGAAAGTGAGGCTGGCAGCCCGCTGCAAAGGAGCCGGGCGAGCAACAGCGGCGGCAGGAAGTCTGTGCCCGAGAAGAGCAGAAATAAGAGCCAGGGAGGGACCGCGGCGGCGGCGAGAGTGAAAGAGGAAACTGCAGAAGAGGAAGCTCTGCCGCAGCACCAAGTCTCCTCCGGCTCCCGCGCCGAGCATCCCCGCGCCGCCCGCCCCGGCCCTCTCGGACCCTCCTGCGCCTCCGCCACCGGGCGCCCCCTCCTCAGTGCGCCCGCCCCTGCCCCACGCGCCCGGCCACGCCGCCTCGCCGCCTCGCCGCCTCGCTGCCCTCGTCTGCCATGGCCCGGGAGAACGGCGAGAGCAGCTCCTCCTGGAAAAAGCAAGCGGAGGACATCAAGAAAATTTTCGAGTTCAAGGAGACCCTTGGAACGTAAGTGGGGACTGGGGAGTGAGGGTGGAAGGGGCTGCGGCCACGGGTGCCTACGCGGCTCCGCTGCCAACAACGCCGCCTCGGCAGGAACCGGCTGGTCGCCGCGTCCTCATTGTGGGCTCTCTGCCCTGCGGAACCTCCCGCGCGCGCCCAAGCGTGTGGGTGTGCGCCCCTGGGCGCGGGTGGGCACCGCTCCTGGGCGGGCGAGCCCTGGGCTTTAGGAGGACGGCTCCCGCTGGCGAGAGACTTTCTGTTTCCCCTGACACCGCCGCCCTCTCGACTTCTTTCTCTCTACGCGTGACTGTGTGAGCTGAGATGGTGGATTTTCTGCTAACTGGCTGTGCGCGTTTACTCACCGTGTGTAGGGTTGCACCGTATGGACGAGAGATGTGGTCACGAGAAAAATCGAGCTCCGGTCATTCCCATTTCTGCCCTCCCATCATGTATTCTTACAGAATCAACATTACCAGGTGTTATGCACGTACCAGGTGTAAGGCAAGACTTCGGAGGGCCGCGCGATTGTGGAAGGGAAGAATTTCGCAGTGTGCAGGGTCACGTGTGGGCAGAGCCTCACCTGAGCGTCTGTCCATTTCACAGAACCTCAGCCGCACACGCAAGGGTGCAGGTCTCCCGGGGAGGGTCTGTGAGTGTCGCTGTGCTGGCGGTTTCTCTCCAGTGCTGTATTTAGTCCGATGCTGGTAGCTGCGTCTCAGGAAAGCAGAAATAATCAGAAGTCGATGGTATGGATGCTGCCAGCGTGTGCCACTCCGCTCAGCTGCTGTTCCCTTTCCGCCCCTGAGTTGTTTTTTGTTTGTTTTGTTTTGGGGCGCCTGAGAATAGGTGCGGAGGCTGATAGTGAAAGAGCATCGGGCACTGCTGAACGAATCTGAAGTTCAAGTTATTTTCTCCCCGCCTGTGATCAACGTCAGTTGTTGATCAGTATCTGTTGGTGTGCATTCACGCACGTGCTACATGTACTGGACGTTTTGCAGGGGTTCATGGAGGTGTTGATGAGGTTGAGACGAGGAAGAGGAGGTGTTTCTTAGGATAAATCAGTGTGCTTTTGTTTCCTTTCTCTTTTCCCCTTTACTTGTTTTTGTGGTTAGTTTGCTTTTCCAGAACCATATGTTCAAACCCAGTTTGTCTTCTGCCCCACACTCAGGGTCCACTGCAGTTCTTCGGGTCATTTAACCCCCATCCCTCCACCCCCATGTCTGCAGCACGTTTCCTTCCTAGAGCAATTTGTGAAGGTAGCCTTCTCAGCCATGTTTCTGATTCCGGGGAAAGCACACTTGCAAAGGTAGCGAATAAGGGCTTCCCAGCGTTGTGCTTTGATTCAGAGAGGGCACCTGTGGGTCTGCACTTTCCATCTCTGTTGCCATGAAAACAGAAAAGACTTGGCATTTTCAGAAAGAGGGGTTTGGTGCTGCCTCTCAGCATGGCCAATGAAGGGGTGAGTTTGGGTGAACACTTTCGAAAACTGCCATTGAGGTTTATTCAGGTCTCAGCTATAGCTCTGAAGATGCGCATCTTATGCAGGACCTAGGAGTGTGCCCTTGCGTGTGGTCCCTACACCGATGATGTGGCTTGCAGCCGAAGGAACTGGAGTGAGTCGAGTCCCATCTTGTGAGAATGTGTTCCTTTGCACGGCAGTGTGTCCCCACTTGGGCTCCTCTTCCTGCAGCCTCCAGGCAGACCGATGCAGTGTCCCCTTATTGTGCCCCGCTCCCGGGGAGAACCCCAACAGCCGCACCTCTGCAGTGGCAGGCTGCTGAGGCTCAGTGAGCTGTGGCTTCATTGAGGAGCTCCTGCTGTCGCAGGCGCTGCTTGGGGATGACTGCGGTGGTTTCCGCCTCTCAGAAAGATGGGATTTGCCTTCTGGAACCTGAGAGACTGTAGAGCTCTTTGCAGAACAACCTTGGACTCTGGCCACATTCTTGTGAACTTTGGTACAGGTCTCTGTTGGGGTCCCAAAGCTCTGCCTTCTGCCTTACAAAGAATTCTTTGAAAAGAAGCTTCCCACTGAGGTCCTGTCGTGCTGGTAAATGTTCTAGAAGAAGGAAACACTAACAATAAAATGATCAAAATGTTTTTACTCAATGACATAATGATGATAATGGTAGTTGTAGGTGACGTTATTAAATGAATACTAAGTAGCAGGCATCATTTTAAGTGCTTATATGTGTTTACTCATTTTACTCTCATAATAACCTCATGAGGTAGGTGTTTACTACTATCCCCAATTGGTAGATGGGAAAACTGAGGCAACAGAGAGTAAGTGACCTGCCAAACATGAGCTAGTTATTAAGTGGTGGAGCTGATATTGAATCTAGGCAGAACAACTCATGATTATCCGTAAGGGGTTGAGCCACTTTGTGGATTATGTAATGGCAAATATTTAATAACAATGTGACTTAACTTTAGTATTTGCAAAGCTTTTCTGAATGTTAATGTAAAGAAGACATAATTATGGAGTAACCTGTTATCCAAATCGGTGACATTTCAAAGCTTTTGGGTTATCAACATTGTTTTGTCTCCTTGGACTTTCCAGAAATGGTCTGAAAGTCAGGGTGCCTGTTCCACCCTGGGCCATGTCCAGCAACCTTGGCCTGAGTCTAAATAGAGGAGGTGTCTTCCGGTCTTATCAGTATGGATGTTGAGTGTGGGCTCTGATTACGGTTGGGATTCATTTCCAAGGTACTCTGCAGATCCGATCATTTTGTTTGTCACACCTTCACTAGATGCCTTTAACATCCTAAGGCAAGAAAGCCCAGCCAGGAGCCAGACCATCAGCTTGCAGTGCTAAAATGCTTTAAATAAAAGCATCTTAAAGGCTTGATGAACCCTTGGCCAAACTTTGTCATTTGATACTTGGCTGCCTGATCCCTGTACCCTTCTGTGCAGAGCAGAACACTTACTGTTGAAGCTAAAGGGTCTGGCCATTTAGTCTGTGTGATGAAAGGGACCTTGCTGGAGGGTGGGGCCAGGAGAGTGAAGACTGGCCCAGAAGGGTGGGAAAGAGGCTGAGGAAGCAAAGGGTAGCTACGGAAAGGACCCTCTTTGTGGTTTGGGCCTGAATTAGCTGACACACCTCTGAGTCATGTCTCGGGATCAACCTCTCCCCCTGTGGCCTGCAGTGTGACTCCTTTGACAGGGAAACCCGGAACCTAACCTTATTTTCCAGTAAGGTGGTGAGACTTAATTGCTATTTATTAATCAGTGACATGTTTTCAGATCCTTGGCACACTGTGAGAGCAGATAAATGTTGTGTAACAGCAAATTAGGAGCAGTAAACATTTCTGTCCACGTATTTGCGGAGGCTCTTCAGGCCGTCTCTGCTGTAGATATCTTTCAACAACTTCTGAAACATGAAAATGAAAATATGCCATTTGGAGACATATATGGATGGGCATACCGTCCAGGAATACCCCAGACTCATGGAAGTCCCTTCTGTAATTTCCACGCCAGGAAAGGCATCTGAATAGAGAAGGCCTTAATACTTGGCACGACACAGAAGGATTCTCCCAGTCGCCCTCATTTTCCCCGGAGTATAGGAACCAGCATGTCCTAGAAAACAGACCTTCCTCTCTGTGGGGTATGAATACATGCTTTTCTTACAGACTGAACACTGTACGTGGAAGTAATTGCTGTCTGTAAGGGGCTGGAGCAGGCCTAGTGGAGGATGTGAGCCTGGGTTCCAGGTCCGGTTCAGCCATGAATGGGGTGTGTGGCCTGCCGATTGATTGGTCATTTGTCCAGCCTCCTCATCTCTAAAGATGCCTGGAAGACGAGATGGTTTTCACATACCCTGACAATGATGAGATTTTATGGCTCGCCTTTCCATGTGTGGCCAGGTGTAGCCGATTCCTGTCTGGAGGGACACTTTTATGCCCAGCTCGTGGCAAAGGGAAACAGCTCAGGACAGGACGTCAGCTTAATGTCAACAGCGCAGCTGCTTCTCTTATTCATTAAATGAGGGCCTGTTGGGTGCTGCTTTAGGAAGGGTATAAATACAAGTTTCCGTGGGGCAAGCACTGTCTTTTCCCACAAGTATCATGCTTACCTTCCTTGTTCTGACATTGCTCATTCAGTACACCTGTTGAGGATACAGAAGATTGATGTATCTGAAGGCCCAGGTAGAAAATAGGCTTAGCTGTTCTTTTCTTGGGGGTGTATATGGAGGGGGGAAGGGGGACTGCAAAGCTACTTGAAGTGGTTTGTATATTTGACTGGCTGATTTAATAGTATTTATTCTGGGATTACTCAGAATTTTAGAGTCTGGGAGAAGCACTCGAAAGAATATTGTAAGCTGTAGGAAAGACTTGCCTTTGCTCTAAGAGAATTGGGAAACACTGGAGGGTTTTGAGTGGAGGAGAACCTTGATGTGAGTTAGGGGTTCCTGTCGTGGCTTTGGCTGCTGTGTTGAGGAACTGGCAGGCTCAAGGGCAGAAGTGGGGAGATGCGGGGAGAGATGGTGATGGGTTCCAGCTGGGGAGTCACTATAGAGGTGATAAGAAGTGGCTGGATCCTGGATCTATTTGGAATGAGAGCCGATGGGAATTCCTGGTGGATTGGATGTGGCCTCTGCAATTCTCCAAGGGTTTGGGGTTTGAAAGAATGGTACCATTGGTGGTTTGGGTCAGTTTTTCCAAGGATTTTCTGAGCACCTGTCTCGGGGAAGTTTTTTGGGATAGCTTCTGGGCTCCCCTCTTGAGGGACTTCTGTATTTTAAGGTGTATTTCCTTCCTTCCAAGGGCTTGTATCTGGAAAGGGCTTTGAAATACCCCTTCTTCTGTCACAGAAGGAGAGTTGTGATAGGCTGGACATTTGAGCAGCTGGAGAAATTTCTTCACTTTCCATGAAAATGCTGGGTTTTGCCTTTAGAATGTTCCATCTAGGTCAGTTTGGGAGTGGGCCTAGAACCTATAACTCTCCCACTTGCTTGGGGAACTTACAGCCCAAAAATTCTGTGAAAAATAATAAACATGAGAACACCTGCTACTCCTTTCTTTGAAAGCATGTTTTGTTTTGGAGAGGAAAAGCCAAAAGTTCTCAGTGACTGAAAGAAAGATAACAAAATCTAGTGTCCTTTGGGAAATTCTACATTTGGCTAGAGCTTGTCCCCAGAGGGGCTAATGAGGACTGTGTCTCACATAGAAATTTCTGGTTCAAAGTTAGCAACTGAATGGACAATAATCAGGCTTGGCAGGTGGACCTTTGTGTCTTCTCAGAGTATGATTTTAGGGGTTAAATTGTTGAGTTTTTCTTTGGCTAGGTCTCCATAAATCCCTTTAATCTTTCCTTTCCCCAGCTAAATCTCCTTAAATCCCCTCCAGTCTCTCTCCTCCTCTGTCCTCTGGGAGGGCTTAGATTTTGGTCCAGCAGGGGATTGTCACCTCATTGGTCAACTTGCACCCACAGTGGCACACCCCAGGACTCTGAGCCTTCAATCCTGACGAGATTCTACAGGGGTCATCAGGGAGCCCACGGCCCCTGGGGACACATTTCTTTAACTGAAGAATGAATTGCTGATGGGTGGCCAGCAGAAAGCCTGGTGCCCTAGTCAGCTGATCCACGTTTCTTTTCTGACTCAGGATGATCAATCCAGTGCATATGTGGCTAAAACAGGAGGATATGTGGACCCTGGGACAGATGCCGCCATGATCTTCTTTCTCAGTTCACGTTGATTATGTCCCCTTGACTCAGAAACAGGGATTCTGTGTGTTGGATAAACCAAACCTTGAGGAGAAGGCTTTAAGACAGCATATTGACGGAGGCTAGGTTGGGAAGGCATCAGGAGGCAATGAATAGAAATCACAGAAAGGTAGTTCCAGCATGACCATTCATTTCTGTATGTGGCTGGACAGGTTCCTTAATCTTTTTGAGTTAAGGTGGAGATGGAAGTTGCTGTCTTACGGGCTTCTTGTAAGGATTCAGTGACGTATATGAGGTGCCTGGGACATAATTGGGATTGAGTAAACTGTCATCACCTCTGGCTGCCTTCAAATGCTGTGATTGAGGCTGACTACCTATGGATAGTCAGGACCAGTACTTTGGGGGAAGAACACATCAGTATCTGTTGGAAATTGATTTTGGAAGCTCTTGTTGCAGGTATGCAGAATGATGCATATTTAACCTCTCCCACAACTGAGGTGAAAAACCATCCCAAGCCTGTTGGCCAGCCAGCGGGGGACAATTTCTGGGTGTTCCCCAGAGCACAGTGGTGAGCAGCTGAGAAT